TAAAATTAGAGGTAAAAATTAGTGAGGAAGTCCGACCATGACTAATTTGCAGATGACTTGATGAATTCCTTGAAATGCAATAAATTCGATTAAAAAATACATTACAAACACAGATGGAGACAAAATTATCATATATAAATCAAAATCATTCATAAATGCAAACCACAACCAGTAAGAGGATATAATTTACAAACGCCACAACAAAGATTTAAAAAAATCAAATGAAAGAATTAAACTGTATGAAGAGCCAATGAAAGAGAAGTGGATAATGAAAAAAAGACTTCAATAAATGGAAAGACATAACTCATCTGTGGATGCAAAAACTTCACTGTCAAGAAGTCAGTTTTCTCTAAATTGATCTACAAACTCAATTTGATCTCAATTAAAAGCCAGAAAAAAAGTATGGTATTTACGAGACAATTATGGAATATTAAGGAATTGTTTTTAAAAACAATAGGTTATTATGGTATTATGATTTTGTTACAACAAAGAATTCTTATCACTTAGATTTATAATATATGTTTTAAAATTTACAAATGAAATGATATACCTGGGATATGTTTCAAAATAATATAGGAGGAAATGGGTGGGAGGATCAATGAAAAAGATTGGTCATGAAATGATCATTGCAGTCAGGTGTTGGTCCACAAGGTTTCACTTAATACTATTCTGCCTACATGTATATATGTTTGACATTTTCAGTTTTAGAAAGGTTTAAAAAGATTAAAACACATATGCATAAGAAACCAAAGGGTTGTGTTTTCAACCAAACTGACTCTAAAGTTTCCATGGAAATATAAACTTAGTGAGAAGCTAGGAAACCCCTGAAATTAAGACAATCAACAAAGGGAAATAGCTCTAAGACTGTTATACTGTGATTTACAGTAAGAAATATACATTTGTTTTTCTCCCCAGTTTATGGTGCAGAGCTCCTAAAACCCTTGGAATTTCCTGAGCATAAGAGTGATCAAGGTGTCTTTGTTGTGTCAGTGAGGTGACTTTGGGGAAGGATGGGGGCTGGTTGCCAGGAGAACCAACCACTGATTAGAGAGTTGGAAATTTCAGTCTCAACCCTCGACATCTGGGGACAGGAGAGGAGCTGGATGCTGAATCAAATGCCAAAGGCCAGTGATTAAATCAAACCAATCACGCTTATGTAAGACACCTTCATAAAAATCCAAAAGGATGGGGTTTGGAGAGCTTCCGGTTTGGTGAACCCATGGAGATTAGGGAACAATGGCCAGCTCTGAGGCAGTAGGGAAGCTTTGAGCCCCTTCATCATGCCTTGCTCTATTCATTGCTTCCATTTGGCTGTTCCCGAGTTATATCCTTTTACAATAAACCAGTGAGTAAAATGTTTCTCTTGTAACTAGTAAGTAATGTAACTAGTAATGATTCTCTTGAGTTCTGTGAGTGGCTCTGGCAAAACATTCAAATCCAAGGAGGGGATCATGGTACCCCAATTTACAGCCAGTTGATCAGAAGCACAGATGACATCTGGACTGTGACTGTCATCTGAATGGGGGGGGCAGTCTTGTGGGACCTGTGGGGTCTGATGCTATCTCCAGGTAGGTAGTGTCAGACTTGAATCATAGGACACCCAGCTGGTCTTGGAGAATTTCTTGGGGTGGGGGAAAAAGCCCCACACATTGGAATTGGTGTCCCAGAATTATTAATGACATAGATATAAATAATTTAAACTGTGTGACACTGGAACATTGACAGACCAATGGAACAAACAAAAAATTCTGTTTCTGATATTCAGAAATAGATTAATATCTATGTTGGAACATAGTATGTATGATAAAGATGGCATCTCAAAAGGGATGGGAAAAAACAAATGGCTTGGAACAATTATCTCCTCATTAAGAAAAGAACATTGCATCCATACTTCTCCGTTTGAAACATGATGAATTCCCAATATGGGAAAAGATTTACAGGTGTAAAAAAAACATAAAAAAAAATAAAAATATAAGAAGAAAACTTGGAAAACTCCCGTATGGCATTGGATAGAGGAACACCTTTCTGAATATGACTCAGACTTCAGGAGTCACAAAAGAAAAAAAAAAGTTCTACTACATCAAAACGAAACACAGAGTCACCCAACAAACGTCTGTCTTCCCCCTCCTGGGTGGAGGAGCCCCCTCCTCGGAGCACGAGCCCCAAGCACTGTACCTGACACTTCTAACAGGCTCCACAGATGTCAATTTTTTAAAATTATGAAATGTATTGAAGTATTTTTCCTTTAACATCTAAAAGATGACAAGAGTCTTTGAAGAATTGTTTAAGTAAAACCCACCCTTAAACTAGTATAATTCTCAAAAGAGATTCACTCATGCCACCCCTGCAGTATGCTTTCCCTCATTTTACAGTTTTCCCATGTAAAAGAAAAAAAAAAGACAAATATTGCCCATCAGGACTGATGTAGAATCTCTGAGCTATGCCAGTATCTTTCCCCTTGGGTAATTTTTCCAACATTAACTGGTAACAATAGGACTGCAAATAGCCTTCCCCTGGGACTGCAGGGGGAAGCAGGCACCTGACAGACACTGGCAGATGCAGCTTTGGGTGACAGCTACTAAATGCATGATACTTATCTAGGTGGAGTTTACCATCTCTGCAGCTATAAAAAGGTTAGTTCCTTACTTCCAGCTCCACACCCTGACTGATGTTTTGTATGCTTCACTCATTGTATTTCCGTTTTCAAGGTGAGGGCATTTCCTTGCACAATAAACAAACATAATGAATAACATCAACACTGCTCCCCGGATCTTATAATCATATACATTAGAAAACTATGTATTAGCTAGACAGACAACAATATGACTACACATTGCATTAGAAAACTCAGTACCACACAGGCTTCTAGAGAGCTCTGGTGACCTCATTCCTTGCCTTCAAAACGTTTGGAAGAAATGTAAGGAAGTAGTGTCAATATATTTAATTATCAATACTGAAATTATTGAATTATTTTTTCTAAGAAGCATGCAAAAAGTCCATTTTTATTGATTTATAATCATATTATCGTATGGATTATGACCTTCATAAATAAAGATGGATCCAGGATGGCATGCCTCTCTGAGAGATGGTATGGCACAGAGCAAACCACAGCAAAAAGGTCCAAAAGATTGAAGCAAGACACAGCCTCATTAGTGTAATGAAATTCAACTCAGTTCATTAAGTATGTATTGATTATCAACTAATACCTATAATTAGAGAGATATCAAAATATAAATTAGTTTACTTTGGTAAAATTGATCCAAATACATTTATAATCATTTCAAATGCTTTAAGCTTGCCAATTCTCCCTGTACCAAAGACTATTATCTAGTTTCTGGACCACCAATCTTTGCTACTCTTTCAAGAATGGGAACCAAGTAACAATAGCACTTGAGTCCTAACGACAGGCTTAGCCTGAATTATTAATTTGCCAAACCTATTTAGGAAAACTGCAAGAAAACATAAGATTCCTATTATCTTTCAAGAAAAGATCATTTCAACTTAATTTTATATTTGTTGGGTCAAAATTCCCTATATTATTTGGGCCTTTGTGCAGAATGTATACTGACGTATCTTCTTAGGAAGTTTAAAAAAAATCTTTTTTTTTTTTTGGTTAATATTGCCAAAGAGCTTTAATTTTTTTCCTCTTGAACAAAACAACTTATCATCCATGGTTAGACAATTTTCCCCACAACACCCAACACCATTGATGTTGTTATGACTAAACAAATCGGGTTTTTTATTTTATGGCAAAAAAATAAGTGATTTGAAGTAAATATCAATATATTATGAAACATTGTTTACAAAGCTTACTTAGCATTTAATCATATTCATGACCTCCATAGCAACCACCTCATTTAATGATTTATCTATTTTAAAATTAACTTGTGAAGTACTAAAAAGCATGTTTTGTTACTAAAAAATTTAAATGTGACATTAATCACGTTTGGCTTGGCAAACACTTGTAACAATGTAGATTGGAGTCTACCTTGTGCTATAGTCTTAAAATAGGCAGAACTGCTTATAATTTTCGTATTTTGCACTTTTAAAAGGATCTGTTATTACTGTTTATCATATCTTGATTCTATACACCAAGATGAAAACAAGGTTGTAGGTTTCTATTTGCAAAGCACATTAAAAATAAAACATTCTTAACAGGGACAATCTTGTCTCTGAAAAACCAAGTTGGAGACAATTGTTCTATTTCTCATTTTGTTTTTCAAAATTCTACCACATTATTTATATCATTTGTGCTGTGAGATTTTTTAAAATTAATTAATTAATTTGTGGCTGTGTTGGGTCTTTCTTGCTGCATGGAGGCTTCTCACTGTGGTGGCTTCTCTTGTTGCGGAGCACCAGCTCTAGGCGTGGGGGCTTCAGTAGTTGTGGCACGCGGGCTCAGTAGTTGCAGCGCAATGGGCTCCAGGTGCGTGGGCTCAGTAGTTGTGGCTCGCAGGCTCTAGAGCGCAGGCTCAGTAGTTGTGATGCACGGGCTTAGTTGCCCTATGGCATGTGGGATCTTCTCGGACTAGGGCTCGAACCCATGGCCCCTGCATTGGCAGGCGGATTCTTAACCACTGCGCCACCAGGAAAGCCCCTCTGCTGTGCGATTTTTTTAACAGGCTCTAGTGAAGTTCATCTTGAGATAAGACTACAAAATTACCACTTAACATCAGTGTTCTTTAAACATCCTGCGTTTTGCACAGTTTAAAAGTTTAAATTTGAAACAATTTCACAGCATCATCCAACGTGGTCCCGCACCGCTGGGGTACTAGTGCGAACGTCTGAGCCGAGGGAGGTTCTAAAACCCCCCTACCCCAGAGAGGTGTGTATTTAAGCGGTAACTCTACTCAATACTTTATAAACAAGGGATTGATTTTATTTCTCATGTTGTAAAAAAGAATTGGAAATAGGGATCACGTAGGTCAAACTTCAAATCGTCAGAACCACTTCCGGTACCTGCGGGCGGAGGACGCGTCACTTCCGGCAGAGGTCGCGTCACCCAGGGGCGCGACCCGAAAGCCCTCCTCCCCTCAGCGGCTGGCGTCAGGCTGAGCCAGGCGGAACCCAGGCCAGCGGTGGCGTTTCTGGCGGGCAGCGTAAGGCTGGGGTCCCTGGAGTCGGCCGCCTACGGGCGCCCCGCACGGGCTGCGTCCCGCCATGAAGTTTCGGGCTAAGCTCGTGGATGCGGCCTGTCTGAACAACTTCACGCGTGAGTGGGGGCCGCGTCGGCCCAGGGCGGCGGGGAGGAGGGCAGAGGGGAGGGCGGGAGGCCCGGAAGGGGCAGTGCAAGCGGCCGGGGCCCCGCGAGGAGGATGGGGGCGCGCTGGGCTGGCGGGCCGCTGGAGGATGGGGCGGGCGCAGGTGCCGAGGGTTGTTCCTGCAGATTGAGTCCTATCTCGTGTCTTTTCTTAACCCGGCCGCTGGCGGCACGGACACCTTTATCTGGCGCAGACCGCCCTTCACAGCCCGGCCCCGTTGGTTCCCCCGCCCCCTGCGGCGCCTGGCCCTGCCCCGATCCCTGCAGCACCCGGCGGCCCCGAGTGGACGTGGGAGGGCTGAAGGCGGCCGGTAGGCGCCAGTTCACTTCCGAATATCGCGGTTTCCTTATTCCAGCCCTGATGGCTGGTGATGTGAACGGCGCAGGGTTGGTGGGAGGCTGGCGTGACCTCAGCGGCATTAAAGGCTTCCCGGTGGGTACCAGCGTAAACGTGATTTTCCCACCGGCAAGCTCGTCGGGCCGAACTGGGATTTCTGCGAGCTAAGTTAGCGTCTGGGATACTTGGCGTGCTTCTTAGTAATTCCTTACTCGAATCCTTCGCTGTAGGAGTTAGTAACATGATAGCCAAGCTTGCCAAAACCTGCACTCTGCGTATCAGCCCGGATAAGTTGAATTTCATCCTCTCTGACAAGGTGGCCAATGGAGGGGTGAGCATGTGGTGTGAACTGGAGCAGGTGAGCGGAGGCTCTCTGAGGCCTGCAAACCGTCCCCACCCTCGCCCGCCACGAATGCCGCCGGAAAGAGCACAGATGTCCCCCCTTTTTCTTCCCTTAGGAGAACTTCTTCAGCGAATTTCAAATGGAAGGTGTCTCCGCAGAAAACAATGCGATTTATTTAGAGCTAACATCGGAAAATTTATCTCGAGCCTTGAAAACTGCCCAGAATGCCCGAGTCTTGAAGATCAAGCTGACTAATAAACACTTTCCCTGCCTCACAGTTTCTATAGAGCTGGTGAGTACGACGGGAGCGTTTCTGAAACTTCCCAGAGGATTCAAAAGTAGTTATAAGCCTAGGCTTTCTAACAGTATGTGGAAAGCTAATTGGTTTTATTAAAATGAAAGATCTGCACGTCAGTATTTGTTTTCCCTTGGAGTCATGTCCTCCTCATGTTTAAATAGCATTATGATCCCATAATATTCAACGAGGATACTCCTTTTCCTATGAAATAACACTTCTGCGTCTTTCTTCTCTATCTGCGTAATCCCAGCATCTCCATTTCTTTTACTGGTTTTGTCACCTAGTCTAGAAACCATGGTTTCTCTCCATTTTCACTTTTGAAGCATTTGTGTGTCCCTCCCCTATCCCACGCCTCTGTTGCTGACACCTTTAAAATGACCTCTGGTTCTCGAGGAATACATCTTTCTTCCACGCTACTACCAGATGAATCCAACGCGCAGCTCTCTTCAGGACACATGTACCCCACAGGCTGTCACTGCTCACAGAATGAAGTTCACTTTTCCAACTTACTGTCCGAAGCCCTTGACGTGTGGCCCAACCCATTGTAGAGCCAAATTGCAAACACCTGCCCTCTGAGTGGTTCCCCAGGTGTGTCCCGTTCTTTCCCAACTCCCAGGCTTTGGGGATGCTGGGTCTTCTCCTTGGAGTCTCTCCTCTTACTCTTTGAAGCCTTAACTTCCTTTAGCGCCAGTGCTGCCTCCTCCCTGGCCTTCCCTCATCCTGGCACCTCTCCTCCTTGTGATTTGTGGACTTTATTTTTCGGGTGAGTGTTGTATTCAGTTTAATGCTCTTTATGGAAGAGGATTTCTCAACTTTTTTTTTTAATTGAAGTATAGTTGATTTACAATGTTGTGTTAATTTCTGCTGTACAGCAAAGTGACTCAGTTATACATATGTATGCGTTCTTTTTTTTTAATATTCTTTTCCACTATGGTTTATCTCAGGGTATTGAATATGGTTCCCTGTGCTATACAGTAGGACCTTGTTGTTTATGCATTCTGTGTGTAATAGTTGACATCTGCTAACCCCAAACTCCCAGTCCATCCCTACCCCACCCACTCTCCCCCTTGGCAACCACAAGCCTGTTCTCTATGTCTGTGAGTCTGTTTCTGTTTTGAAGGTAGGTTCATTTGTGTTATGTTTTAGATTCCACATATAAGTGATACCATATGGTATTTGTCTTCCTCTTTCTGACTTCAGTCACTTAGTATGATAATCTCTAGGTCCATCCATGCTGCTGCAATGGCATTATTTCATTCTTTTTTTATGGCCGAGTATTATAGCATTGTATGTTTATATATACCACGTGTTCTTTATCCATTCATCTGTCGATGGACATTTAGGTTGTTTCCATGTCCTGGCTATTGTAAATAGTGCTGCTATGAACATATAGGTGCATGCATCTTTTTGGATTATAGTTTTGTCTGGATATATTTTCGGCAGTGGGATTGCTGGGTCATATGGTAATTCTATTTTTAGTATTGTGAGGAACCTCCATACTGTTCTCCATAGTAGCTGTACCAAAACTTACATTCCCACCAACAGTAGAGGAGGGTTCCCTTTTCTCCCTACCCTCTCCAGCATTTGTTATTTGTAGATTTTTAAATTATGGCCGTTCTGACTAGTGTGAGGTGGTAGCTCATTGTAGTATATTTTGAAAATTAATCCCTTGTCGGTCACATCATTTGCATATATTTTATCCTATTCTGTGGGTTGTCTTTTGGTTTTATTTATGGTTTCCTTTGCTGTGCAAAAGCTTGTAAGTTTGATTAGATCCCATTTGTTTGTTTTTGTTTCTATTTCTATTGCCTTGGGAGACTGACCTAAGAAAATGTTGCTATGATTTATGTCGGAGAATGTTTTGCATATGCTCTTTCCTAGGAGTTTTATGGTGTCAATGTCTTACTTCTAAGTCTTTAAGCCATTTTGAGTTTATTTTTGTGTATGCTGTGAGGGTGTGTTCTAACTTCATTGATTTACATGCAGCTGTCCAAGTTTCCCAGCACCACTTGCTGAAGGAGCTGTCTTTTTCCCATGGTATATTCTTGCCTCCTTTGTTGCAAAGATTAATTGACTCTAGGTGTGTGGGTTTATTTTTGGGCTCTCTGTTCTGTTCCATTGATCCATATGGCTGTTTTTTTGTGTCAGTACCATGCTGTTTTGATTACTGTAGCTTTGTAGTATTGTCTGAAGTCTGGGAGGGTTATGCCTCCTGTTTCATTCTTCTTCCTCAGGATTGCTTTGGGAATTCTGGGTCTTTTATGGTTCCATATGAATTTTAGGGTTATTTATTCTAGTTCTGTGAAAAATGTCATGGGTAATTTGATAGGGATTGCATTAAATCTGTAGATTGCTTTGCTTAGTATGGCCATTTTAACAATATTAATTCTTCCAATCCAAGAGCATGAGAAATCTTTCCATTTCTTTGAATCATCTTTAATTACCTTTATTAATGTTTCATAGTTCTCAGCATGTAAGTCTTTCACCTCCTTGGTAAGGTTTATTCCTAAGTATTTTATTGTATTTTTCTTTGATGCAATTTTAAAAGTTTTTTTGCTTTTTTACTTTCTCTTTCTGATATTTCATTGTTAGTGTAAAGAAATGCAACAGATTTCTGTATGTTAATCTTGTATCCTGCTACCTTGCTGAATTCATTTATCAGTTCTAGTAGTTTTTGTGTCAAGTCTTTAGGATTTTCTATGTGTAGCATCATGTCATCTACATATAATGACAGTTTTGCCTTTTCCCTTCCAATTTGGATGCCTTTTATTTCTTTTTCTTGTTTGATTGCTGTGGCTAACACTTCCAGTAATATGTTGAATAGAAGTGGTGAGAGTGGGCATCCTTGTATTTATCCATATTTTAGTGGATAGGCTTTCAGCTTTTCATTGTTACTATATTGGCTATGGGTGTGTCATAAATAGCTTTTGTTATGTTGAGGTATGTTCCCTCTATACCCACTTTGGTAAGAGTTTTTATTATGAATGGATGTTGAATTTTGTCAGATGCTTTTTCTGCATCCATTGAGATGATCATGTGGTTTTTGTCTTTTCTTTTGTTCTTTTTTAAATTTTTTAAATTTTTAAATTTTTTTTATTTTTTGGCTGTGCTGTGTGGCATGTGGTACTTAGTTCCCTGACCAGGATCAAACCCATGCCCCTACAGTGGAAGCATGTAGTCTTAACCACTGGACCGCCAGGGAAGTCCCAGTCTTTTCTTTTGTTGATGTGGTGTATAACATCAGTTTGCGTATGTTGAACCATTCTTGTTAACTTGGGATGAATCCCACTTGGTCATGGTGTCTGATTTTTTTACATGTTATTGGATTCGGTTTGCTAATATTTTGTTGAGAATTTTTGCATCTGTGTTCATCAAAGATATTGGCCTGTAATTTTCATTTTTGCTGGTATCTTTGTCTGGTTTTGGTATTGGGTCAATGGTGGCTTAATATAATGTCTTTGGGAGTGTTCCCTCCTCTTCAGTCTTTTGGAAGAGTTTGAGAAGGATCTGTAAAAGTTCTTCTTTTATGTTTTGTAGAATTTGCCTGTGAAGCCATCTGGTCCTTGACTTTTGTTTGTAGGGAATTTTTTTTTTTATTACAGATTTTATTTCACTTCTAGTGATCAGTCTGTTCAAATTATCGATTTCTTCTTGATTTGACTTTTGGTGGGCTGTATGTTTCCCGAAACTTGTCCATTTCCTCTAGGTTGTCCAATTTGTTCAAATATAATTGTTCATAGCAGTCTCTTATGTTTTTTTCTGCAGTATCAGTTGATAGTTCTCCTTTTTCATTTCTTATTTTGTTTGGTTTCTCTCTCTTTTCTTCTTGGTGATCCTGGCCAGATGTTTGTCAATTTTGTTTACCCTTTCAAAGAACCAGCTCTTGGCTTTATTGATTTTTTCTATTTTTTTACTCTCTATTTTATTTATTTCCCCTGTGATCTTTATTATTTCCTTCCTTCTGCTGACTTTAGGTGGTGGTCTTTTTTTGATTCTTCTAGGCAGTAGGTTAGGTTGTTTATTTGAGATTTCTCTTGTTTTTTTGAGGAAGGCCTGTATTGCTATGAACTTCCAAGAACTGCTTTTGCTGCATCCTTAGATTTTGTATGGTTGCGTTTTCATTGTCATTTGTCACAAGGTACTTTTAAATTTCATTCTTGATTTCCTTCTTGACCCATTGGTCTCGTAGTAGCATGTTGTTTAGTCTCCATGTAATTGTTTTTTTCTCATTTCTTTTGCTGTGGTTGATTTCTATTTTCATGCCATTGTGGTCAGAAAAGATGCTTGAAATAATGTCTGTACTCTTAAATTTGTTGAGGTTTGTTTTGTGCCCTAGTATGTTGTCAGTCCTAAAGAATGTTCCATGTGCACTTGAAAAGAATGTGTTTTCTTTTATTTTTAATGTAATGTCCCCAAAACAACAATTAAGTGTAGCTGTTCTGTTGTATCATTTAGGATCTCTGTTGCCTTATTGATTTTCTGTCTCAAAGAGCTGTCCACTGATGCAAGTCAGGTGTTAAAGTCTCCTACTATTATTGTATTCCTATCAGTTTCTTCCTTTATGTTTGTTAGTATTTGTTTTATGTATTTGGGTGCTCTGATATTAGTTGCATATATGTTGACGAGTATAAAGTCCTCCTCTTGTATTGATCCTTTTATCATTATATACTGTCCTTATTTATCCTTCTTTATGGCCTTTGTTTTAAAGTCTGTTTTGTCTGATACGAGTGGTGCAACTGCTACTTTCTTGTCAATTCCGTTTCCATGAAGTATCTTTTTCCATTCCCTCACTTTCAATCTTTGTGTTTCTTTTGCCCTGAAGTGGGTCTCTAGTGTTTTTTTTTGGCCACACCATGCCGTGCTGTGTGCAGGATTTTAGTTCCTAACCAGGGATCGAACCTGTGCCCTGTAGTGGCAGCACAGAGCCTTAACCACTGGACTGCCAGGGAAGTCCCTGAAGTGGGTCTCTTGTAGGCAACATATTGCAGGCTCTTTTTTATCCAGTCCGCCACTCTGTCTTTTGATTGGAGCATTTAGTCCATTGACATTTGAGGAAATTATTGATAAATATGTATTTACTGCCATTTTAAACCTTGTTTTCCAATTGATTTTATGTTTCTTCTTTGTTCCTTTATTTCTCTTCTTGTTTTTCTTTTTGTGGTTTGATTCCTTTTATTTTATGCTTGTGTTCTGTTCTTTTTGGTTTTTGTGAATCTATCGTATGTTGTTGGTTTGTGGTTACCCTGTTTTTCAAGTATGTTAACCCCTTTCTATATCTACTTGCTTTAGACTGATAGTCATTGTAGGCTCAAACACATTTAAAAAAAAATCTACATTTTCTAATTCTCCTCCCCTACGTTTTATGAATTTGATGTCTTTACATCTTCATGTTTATTCTTTTAGTTTGTTGTGGTTATCATCACTTTCACAGATAGATTTAAAAATTTTTTTTTCTTTTTAATTTGTATGTTGGCTTAAGTGATTTACTTTCCATTTGTTATTCCCTCTTTCCTATAGCTTGTTGCTTCTTTTCTATTTAGAGAAGACCTTTCAATATTTCTTTTAGGCTAGGTTTAGTAACACTGTATTCTTTTAGATTTTGCTTGTCTGAGAAATATTTTCTCCTCCTATTCTAAATGATAATCTTGCTGGGTAGAATATTCTAGGTTGCAGATTTTTTTCCCTTTCAAGACTTTGAATATATTTTGCCACTCCCTTCTGGCCTGCGACATTTCCATAGTGAAATCAGCTGATAGCCTTACGGGGGTTCCCTTGTAATTAACTCCTTGTTTTTCTCTTTCTGTCTTTAGAATCCTCTCTTTAACTTTTGCCAGTTTTTTTTTTTTTTTTTTTTGCAGTACGCGGGCCTCTCAGTTGTGGCCTCTCCCGTTGCAGAGCACAGGCTCCAGATGCGCAGGCTCAGCGGCCATGGCTCACGGGCCCAGCTGCTATGCGGCATGTGGGATCCTCCCAGACCGGGGCACGAACCCGTGTCCCTTGCATCGGCAGGTGGACTCTCAACCACTGTGCCACCAGGGAAGCCCAACTTTTGCCATTTTAATTGTGTCTTGGTGCACGTCTGTTTGGGTTCACCTTACTTGGGACCCTCTGTACTTCCTGTACCTGGATATATGTTTCCTTCTTTAGGTTTGGGAAGCTTTCAGCCATAATTTCTTCAAAACATTTTTGATCCACTTTTCTTTCTTCTCCTTCTGGAATCTGTATTATGCATTGATTGGCATGCTTTATATTATCCCATAGATCTCTTATCTTGCTTTCATTTTTTTTTTTCTTTTGGCTTTCTGTCTGTTGTGATTGAGTGATTTCCATTATTCTGTCTTCCAGCTCACTTGTTCATTCTTCTATGTTGTTCATTCTGTTATTCGTTGCCTTGAGCTCAGCTTTCATCTCGGCAAATTAATTTTGTAATTTTTCTTGGCTCCTCCTTGTTGTCTCTAGTTCTTTTTTACAGTACTCTGTCTGCACTTCTGTCAAAAGCCTTTCTTAATACCTTCACTATTATCATCACCACCTTTTTGAACTTTTTCTCTGTTAGACTGAAGAAGTCTGTTTCATTGTTTGTTCCTTTGGGGAATTCTCTCTTGGTCTTTTAACTGGGAGTGGTTCCTCAGCTTCTTCATTTTATTTGTATTTCTCTTTCTCTGAGCTTAGGAGAAACAGTTACCAACTGTGGTCTTAGAAGGCTATTTATATGCGGGAGTGTCCCTGTGTAGCTTGTGTAGGTTTAATATTTTTGGTGTGAGGGCTGCCTTTAGTATGGATGCCTTTTGCCGCTCCTCAGCACGTGTTGGCCACTACCCCCTTGATGGGGAGTGTGCAGATGCGGCGGCTTTTGCATGTTCCCGGAGCCGCAGCAGTGAGGGCAGCTGGTGCCCCCTCCTGGAGTTCTCAGCGGTGGTGGCGGCTGGCACCTGCCCACCCAGAGCCCACAACAGAAGCTCATGTGTCTTCCCAGAGCCTGCAGCGGTTTGCACGTGCTCCTGGAGCCTGCGATGGCAGTGGCAGCTGGCGCCCACTCCTGACACTCTCAGCGGCAGCGGTGGCTCACGCCCGCCCCAGGGACTCATATAGGTGGTGTTGTGTTGCCTGAAAGTGCGTGTGCACGTGGAAGGAAGCTCCTGTGGCGGCCCCGCCCCTCCCTTCACACGTCCTCCAACAGTGGCACGTTGCCTCTCTGGTGGGCCCAGGTACGCCCTTGGTCATGGCCACACCACACTCCAGCCCCTTCAGGCAGCCCACCCCAGTCCTCTCCCTGGGTCTGAGCTCCGAAGCCTGCGCTTCAGCACCCAGCCCCCACCCACCCCAGCAGACACGTGTCTCAGGCTGGGCAGTGCAGGGTGGTGGCATCTCCCGTGTGTGCAGGTCTCTCTCCATTCTGCCTTCTGTAAACTGGTTGCTGGATTCTCCTCCAAGGTTCTACAGCTCCCCCTCTGTCCAGGCTGATCTCCCTGCCTGTGAGGGGACATCCAGGGTGTGGGCACCTTTCCTCTTTCACAGCTCCCTCCCTGGGGTGCAGGCCCCATCCCAATTCCCCTCTCTGTTTTGTTCTTTTCTCTTTTGTCCTACCCAGTTGCGTGGAGGTTTTCTCGCCCTTTCTGAAGCCTGAGGTCTTCTGCCAGGTTTCAGTAGGTGTCCTGTGAGCACCGTTCTGCATGTGGATGTAGTTCTGATGCATCTGTGGGAGGTGGCGAGCCCGCATGCTGCTCCTCCACTGTCTTGATCACTCTCTTCCTCAACCTTTCTTCCTTTTTCTCAGCTCTTTGCAGTCACGCAGTTCTCAGAGCTAATCTGTATTTCACCTCACAGTATAAGTGTGGTGTGGTTCTAAAGTTACTTAGGGAAAAGTAAGAGAGTAACATATCATGCTTTTCTTTCTTAAAGTGCAGAATATGTTGGGCTGTGGAGTCTCAGAGGAGCCCATGCACATAGACAGGTCGAGTTTTATCCTTCCAGCAGCACACGAGTGTCCTGTGCACACAGAACAGTCTCTTGGTCCCTTCTGCATAGCAAGTCACTTGTGCTTCACGACTTTACACTGCTCTTCTCCCTGCCTGGGAGAACACTGTCCCCCTCGTCTCTATTTTCCCATGACTGACAGCTCATCCTTGTTCTGGTCCTATCTGAAACGTCACCTCTCGGAGAAGCTTTTCCTGACTTCCCACTCTAAGACCCTCCTCACACGCTCACCTGGTTGCTGTTTTGCTTTCTTCAAATCTGTAGTGATTATATGTAGTGCACCCAGCTTGTATAGTTTGTGTTTCCTTCCTTACCCACCTGTACCTCTGGAACAGAGGGAACCTTATCTTATTCTTGTTCACCACACTTCCCAGCTCCTAACAGGACCCCAAGCTGGATATGCACACCATAAATATTTGTTGAATTGAGAACATTCCACTTAGATTTGGTATCAACTTTTTTAGTCTTTCAGTTCTTTTTTTTAAGTGTTGACGGGATGATACAAATAATTTTTAATTTTTCTGTTGGCAGTTATCCGTGTCAAGCAGTAGTCGTGTTGTGACACATGACATCCCTGTAAAGGTTATTCCTCGAAAACTGTGGAAGGACTTACAAGAACCGACGGTCCCGGACGCTGACGTGAGTGATGCCTGGCGTCCTGTCACTCACCACGTATTAAATGGTGTGATTTGAATTCTCTGACTTTAGATAAAGTCTTGCCGTAGGTTTTATTTGAAAGTTGTATAGTGCCTGAAAAGAGATAGTCTTTTTTTTTTTTTTTTTTTTTTTGCGGTATGCGGGCCTCTCACTGTTGCGGCCTCTCCCGTTGTGGAGCACAGGCTCCGGATGCGCAGGCTCAGCGGCCATGGCTCATGGGCCCAGCCGCTCCGCGGCATGTGGGATCTTCCCGGACCGGGGCACGAACCCGTGTCCCCTGCATCGGCAGGCGGATTCTCAACCACTGCGCCACCAGGGAAGCCCAAGAGATAGTTATTTTTAAAGGACACTCCCAGAAAAAAAAAAAAATTGCAGTATTTGTCTTTAGTTGTTCACATAAAACATCCTAAAGTAGCGTTTTACATAATAGGAATGCCCCATTCTTTACAGTTAGGAGAGAGAAAGTCTTGCCCAATAATGCTTAAGTAAAACTACGGTAGTATTTTGGAGGACCATCGCATTTATCGGGAGTAGCGGTCCTAGGCACCAGCTTGGGTTTCACAGAACGTGGTTTTTTCCTTTGTCTCGTAAGGAGTGATGCCCAGGGTGTGTGGGAGAGCCTGCTTTAGTTCTCCTGACAGGAGTCCCAGAGCCACTGGAAGTAAAGATGATGCCCAAGGGTCAAACTCTTGCTCACGATGTATTGAAGAAGAGACCGTGAAAATACAGTGAATGGAATATTTACTTGGCTTTTGCTAGAAGACATCTTTGCTGGGAAAAAGCCAGCATCGTACCAAGTACTGCTGCAACCCAGTCTGGGCACTGCTGCAGAGACTGGCCCCCAGTGTTTCTGCACAGGGTAGGAGGCAGACCTTGAGCTTGGGTGTGAACCCCTGGAGGACGGTCTCCCCCGGTGCTGAGCCTTAGTCCCCTGGGGTACGTGCAGAGGGCATCTTGGCTGCAGGGCTGCAGTCTTGGAAGCAGGGAATGCCTGCAGGGACATGGTCACTGATGTCACCAGAGGCAGGCATGAGTGAGTGAAGTTGTAAACTTGTTTTTCTTTTTATATTTTAAAAAGGACCTGTATTCAGGCAATTTAAAAACAAGATTCCAGAGCTTTTAAGCGTACACACATTGTGAACAGGTAATGAGCACCTGTCAGTACTTGACTATGTTATGTCAATGTGTTAATACTCCTGATTTTTCTCATTTGCTTTATAGGTTAGTATTTATTTACCAGTCTTGAAGACTATGAAGAGCATTGTGGAGAAGATGAAAAACATCAGCAATCACCTTGTAAGTCCTAACTTCTTGGAAAAGAGCTCCCAAGTGTGTGGTTTTGGCTGCGTGTCCTGGGAGGAGCCTCGTCTGATGGAGTCTTGGTGCCCTGCCATTCACCATGTGGTGTCCGTGTGGGGCGTCCCTCACCCCCTGGCTCTGGGGGCCTGGCTGGTTGTTGAGAGCCTGCAGTTTTACAGGTGCCTGTAGCAACCTGCTCAGGTCTTCTCAACTTACCTCACTCGCATTTGCCCTAGTCCCTCATATCTATATTAATAGTATGTTAAGGATATATTCAACAGTTCTGGCTTTCTTTCCATATGTTCTGGACAGCATATTACATGTTTTATCTGATAATGTACATATTTTCTTATGATCACTGATGCTGGCCTCTCTACTTGCCAGATGTCTCTGTGAGCCCAGGACGGAGATCCCCCAGGACACACCCCTCTTCCTGTAGGCAGCTCTTAGGTCAGCTCGAGGGTCATGTTTACTTCCCTGTTTTCTTCTGTGAAGGTTTTCTGCCAATGTCATGAAACGCTATATGTGACAGTGACAGTGTTGGGGGATCGTGTGGGTCATTCTCCTTCCCTCCCAGGGTTCTCCTGAGTTCTGCACTCACCCCCAAAACTCATTCGATTGTGTCCCTGGATGTTTCATTATAGAAACCCCGGTCCACCTGGTGAAACCTTTGCTCTTCGGTGTCTGCAGGCCAGTTACCTGCCACATGGCTGCCCCCTCCCTGCAGAACTCCTCTAGACTCTTGTCCATCCCCACAGCACCGGTTCTTCCCAGGCCCCGTCTCTGCCGTTCACACTTGGCTGCTTCTCTCCCGTTGTCCCCTGGAAAGCACTTAGCCCTTCTCACTGCTCATCAGAATTCCCAGACCTTCTCCCACCACACTGGCTGTAAGCCCCTCCTCTGCCGAGCTGCTCTGTTCAGCACTACATAAGTTACCTGCTAGCACCTGGGAACCCCTCCTAAAGTGGCAGCTTCCTGAAAAGGGAAATTGTCTTAACCGTCTCTGCGTGACAGCCACCCACTGTGGGGTTGCCAGTCAGCACGTGGGTAATAGGTGTTTGCGCATGGACCTGGAATGAAACTTAGTTTCAAGAGATCTTTGGAATTACAAAAGTTTCCTGAAGCCTAGAAAACGTTGATGGGCTGTTTTATCACCGCAGGTGTGCTCGCTTGAGAGTAATTTTCTTCCATAACTTCATCTTTATAGATTTCACTTTAATTTAGGATGGCTTCAGATGAAGCAGTGTGTCCTGGGCAGACATGGGTGTTCTGCTCTGCCTGCCTTGATGTTGATCCAGTTGTCAGGCTGGGAGCTTCCTCTGAGGATACCCTGGGGACCTCCAGAGAGGTTCGAGAGGCCCAGGAGAGAAAAGGCAGGGCGAGTAAGTCAAGGATCCGATTGTTTGTTCTTTTGGTCCAAGGGAAATGAGTCAGCAAAGTCGCTTAGATAAAATCATCAAAGGTGTTTTTCTCTTCCCTGGAGTGTTTAAAAGCCAGAATTTTGTGGAAGTGGTTCCTGCACTGTGAAATACTAAGGGGAAAGTTATCAAGCATATGGAAAGTTGGAGTAGCCAAATGCATAACGAGATCTACTTGAGTAACCAGAATTCTGTGTCTGAAGATTACAGGCAAGAGACCTAAGGAAAATGACTAGGACTTAACACATTAAAAATATCCCTGTCCCGTCAGATGCCCCAGCGGCCCTTGATGAGATGCCATCCTTACCTTACTTCCTTTAATGAGAGACGTGGCCAGTGGGGGTGGGTTGCGTGTACGACTCAGGTAGGAACAGAAAAAACAGGCATGGACTGACAGAAGTCTCCGCCAGGTTTTAAGGCATTGGGCTCCCCTCCAACCAAATGCCAGTTCTGGTTCAGGAGGTCTGCGGTGGGGTCAGGCTGAGTTTCTGACGGGCGCGCAGGGATGCTGTTGCTGTGGTAGACACGTGGGTCGGCGGTGCTTGGTGGTTGGAGCAGTGCTCTGTTGCTTACACCTTATACGTTGTCTCAGCCTCAGAGGAGCCGAGTCCTTGCAGCCACCCTGGGCCCCCTGCTGAGCGGTGCGCCCCGGTGCTGGGTGTTATCCAGCACGAGAATGGCAGCCTAACTGTCACAGTGGCTCTGTGACTTTTTGTGAATCGAGATCATTTATGTTAGGTTCCCAGTGCGTTTAGCCACTCTTCCGTAAATGGTGGGTAATTATCATTTGGGGAATCTCCGAAAGAGGTAAGACTTTGTCCAAGTCCCTAAGAAGCAAAGTATGTTGACGTGGCTAATACTCTGGCCATCGCTCACAAAATAAACACGGCGACCAGTGTTCAGAGTGTTGCTCGTGAACTCCCTTGGCAAGTTCTGTTTGAACACTGCCCCACACCAGGCACCGGGTGTGGTCAGAGGTGTGGAGCTACTGTTTGATCACTCAGGCGGTGGGGATGTGAAGAAAGTTGCGAGAGTGTTTGAAGTCTGGAGTGAATCTAGAACCTTGCAAGCTGCCTTCTTGAATAAATCTGTATTTATATAAAACCTGTTTTTCAAAAGCGGGGAGAACTTACAGGTAGATACTGAGTGTGTGCTTACTCACAGCAGACGGGCCTGTGGTAGCTTTAGAGTCCCGGTAAGCACAAGGATTGTTTTACATATTTCAGTCAAGTATTGTGTCCAGATAAGAGAGCGGGCTTAGAAACATCACCGTGTGTTTCTGGGTAGTAAAAGAATAATGAATTCTTCTCATTCAGAGGTACGTTTACTAGATGATGCAGCAAGGAAATGTAGAGGCTGTTTTCTGTGTAATGTCAAAGCCTTAGAAATGAGAGCTCACTCAAGTTAAAAACATTTTTTGATTTTGTTACTAGGATGGAAACTATTCAGAGTTCACTAATTTTAAGGAACAAGAATAAGGTCTGCTAGGTGACACTCCGAAGTAAATCTGTCTGAGATTTAGCTGCAGCTGAGCCCTGCGGAGCAGGCCGTGCTCCGCTCACCCATGGCCTCTGCCCCTCTTGCCGCGCCTCTGGAATGGCTCCTCGGCCAGACGACCACCATCACCTGTGGCGGCTCGGTGGCCTCTTGCATTGTTGGTTGAGCAAAATGCTGGCTTGCATGCTGCTGCACGGGCTTTCCGAAGACCTGCCAGGCTTTAGAGATGGCCAGATACCGACGGTAAAAGGCGAAGTGCAGCGTGCCCTGGGCAGATTGCCCAAATCTTGGTACCTGTATCATGTCGTGGTACCTGTATCTTTCTCTGAACTTAATTTCTAGATTCTGTCCCGTTTAGAGACCCTGTTGGTTGGTGGAGGGCAGAGCTTGAAAGGAAAGGGCCCTTCTGATCTTGGGAGAAGTTCCAGGCACTGTTGGGGCGGGGGGAGGTGTGGCCGGTAGGGGCCACGGCAATTGGTCACCAAGCCCAGCTGTCCTCTGAGTACGGAAAGCCCAGCGGTCACGGGGCCCCGCAGCTTGTTGGAGTCCTGGACACCTGACGGCATCTTCGGGCCTTTCTGAATTTGGAAATCTCACTTCCCAATGTCTGAGTTTATTTTTCAGGTAGATGGTTATGTTCTCCTGATATTCTGAAGGCTTTCTGATTATGTGGAATTGGCAGTTGTAATAGATGGTTTGGTCCATTTATAAAGATAAGGCAGGTGGGGCTTCCCTGGGGCTTCCCTGGTGGCGCAGTGGTTGAGAGTCCGCCTGCTGACGCAGGGGATGCGAGTTTGTGCCCCGGTCCGGGAAGATCCCACATGCCACGGAGCGGCTGGGCCCATGAGCCATGGCTGCTGAGCCTGCGTGTCCGGAGCCTGTGCCCCGCAACGGGAGAGGCCACAACAGCGAGAGGCCCACGTACCGCAAAAAAAATAAATAAATAAGGCAGGTGGTGAGCTTCTAACTTCACGTTCTCTTCCGGTTCTCCTCCCTCTGTTTTGCAGGAGTCACACAGTGTCTGTGTTGTCAGAGCTGCTAGCAGGGACCCCCAGCCTCACCTGTTCTCAGGTTTTCCCACGGCGCTCTGCACGTGGAGGGGCTGCTCTCCGGGGATTTCTGAGTCCCTGGCTCTCAGACCTTGTCTTCTTGCTGATGCCATGTGGGGCTTGGTGCTGTCAGGAGTGCCCTGCGTCTGGGGGGGCCACCTTGTCACCTGGTTTGTTGGAAGCTGATGTTCACTTTTTTATTTCCTTTTTCCTTTTCTTAACACTGTAAAATACTCAATTTGCAGATTATTGAAGCAAACCTAAATGGAGAATTGAACTTGAAAATAGAAACTGAACTAGTATGTGTTACAACTCATTTTAAAGATCTTGGAAATCCTCCATTAGGTAAGTTTCCTGCTGGGTTATTTCCTCATCCATAAAACCTGGGCTTGGGCTCAGTCTCCAAGAGCCCTTCCAGCTCTTCACATCCTGTGCCTTCTCCCAAAGATTGTAGTTTCTCACATGGGGTGGAGTTAGACATGTAGATGACACTCATTTTCTCCTACTTGTGTGTGTATTAAAAAGTAAGAAGTTTTTCTTTCTTTCTTTCATTTTTTTTTTTACATCTTTATTGGAGTATAATTGCTTTACAATGGTGTGTTAGTTTCTGCTTTATAACAAAGTGAATCAGTTATACATATACGTATGTTCCCATATCTCTTCCCTCTTCAGTCTCCCTCCCACCCATCCTCCCTATCCCACCCCTCTAGGTGGTCACAAAGCACCGAGCTGATCTCCCTGTGCTATGCGGCTGCTTCCCACTAGCTATCCATTTTACATTTGGTAGTGTATATATGTCCATGCCACTCTCTCACTTTGTCACAGCTTACCCTTCCCCCTCCCCATATCCTCAAGTCCATTCTCTAGTAGGTCTGTGTCTTTATTCCCATCTTACCCCTAGGTTCTTCATGACCTTTTTTTTTCCTTAGATTCCATATATATGTGTTAGCATACAGTATTTCTTTTTCTCTTTCTGACTTATTACTTCACTCTGTATGACAGACTCTACGTCCATCCACCTCACTACAAATAACTCAGTTTCATTTCTTTTTATGGCTGAGTAATATTCCATTGTGTATATGTGCCACATCTTCTTTTATTCATCCGATGATGGACACTTAGGTTGTTTCCATCTCCTGGCTATTGTAAATAGAGCTGCAATGAACATTTTGGTACATGACACTTTTTGAATTATGGTTTTCTCAGGGTATATGCCCAGTAGTGGGATTGCTGGGTCATATGATAGTTCTATTTGTAGTTTTTTAAGGAACTTCCATACTGTTCTCCATAGTGGCTGTACCAATTCACATTCCCACCAGCAGTGCAAGAGTGTTCCCTTTTCTCCACACCCTCTCCAGCATTTATTGTTTCCATATTTTTTGATGATGGCTATTCTGACCGGTGTGAGATGATATCTCATTGTAGTTTTGATTTACATTTCTCTAATGATTAATGATGTTGAGCATCCTTTCATGTGTTTGTTGGCAATCTGAATAGCTTCTTTGGAGAAATGTCTATTTAGTTCTTCTGCCCATTTTTGGATTGGGTTGTTTGCTTTTTTGTTATTTAGCTGCATGAGCTGCTTGTAAATTTTGGAGATTAATCCTTTGTCCGTTGCTTCATTTGCAAATATTTTCTCCCATTCTGAGGGTTGTCGTTTGGTCTTGTTTATGGTTTCATTTGCTGTGCAAAAGCTTTTAAGTTTCATTAGGTCCCATGTTTTTATTTTTGTTTTACTTTCATTTCTCTAGGAGGTGGGTCAAAAAGGATCTTGCTGTGATTTATGTCATAGAGTGTTCTGCCTATGTTTTCCTCTAAGAGTTTGATAGTTTCTGGCCTTAAATTTAGGTCTTTAATCCATTTTGAGTTTACTTTTGTGTAAGGTGTTAGGGAGTGTTCTAATCTCATACTTTTACATGTACCTGTCCAGTTTTCCAAGCACCACTTATTGAAGAGGCTGTCCTTTCTCCACTGTACATTTCGGCCTCCTTTATCAACGATAAGGTGACAATATGTGCGTGGGTTTATCTCTGGGCTTTCTATCCTGTTCCGTTGATCAATATTTCTGTTTTTGTGCCAGTACCATACTGTCTTGATTACTGTAGCTTTGTAATATAGTCTGAAGTCAAGGACCCTGATTCCTCCAGCTCCGTTTTTCATTCTCAAGATTGCTTTGGCTATATGGGTTTTGTTGTGTTTCCATACAAATTGTGAAATTTTTTGTTCTAGTTTTGTGAAAAATGCCAGTGGTAGTTTGATAGGGATTGCATTGAATCTGTACATTGCTTTGGGTAGTAGAGTCACTTTCACAATGTTCATTCTTCTAATCCAAGAACATGGTATATCTCTCCATCTATTTGTATCATCTTGAATTTCTTTCATCAATGTCTTATAATTTTCTGCATACAGGTCTTTTGTCTCCTTAGGTCAGTTTATTCCTAGATATTTTATTGTTTTTGTTGCAGTGGTAAATGGGAGTGTTTTCTTGATTTCACGTTCAGATTTTTCATCATTAGTGTATAGGAATGCCAGAGATTTCTGTGCATTAATTTTGTATCCTGCTACTTTACCAAATTCAGTGATTAGCTGTAGTAGTTTTCTGGTAGCATCTTTAGGATTCTCTGTGTATAGTATCATGTCATCTGCAAACAGTGACAGCTTTACCTCTTCTTTTCTGATTTGGATTCCTTTTAATTCCTTTTATTCTCTGATTGCTGTGGCTATAACTTCCAAAACTATGTTGAATAAGAGTGGTGAGAGTGGGCAACCTTGTCTTGTTCCTGATGTTAGTGGAAATGCTTTCAGTTTTTCACCATTGAGGACGATGTTGGCTGTGGTTTTGTCATGTATGGCCTTTATTATGTTGAGCAAAGTTCCCTTTATGCCTACTTTCTGGAGGGTTTTTATCATAAATGGGTGTTGAATTTTGTCGAAAGCTTTCTATGCATCTATTGAGATGACCATATGGTTTTTCTCCTTCAATTTGTTAATATGGTGTATAACATTGATTGATTTGCGTATATTGAAAAATCCTTGCATTCCTGGAATAAACCCCACTTGATCATGGTGTATGATCCTCTTAATGTGCTACTGGATTCTGTTTGCTAGTATTTTGTTGAGGATTTTTGCATCTATGTTCATCAGTGATATTGGCCTGTAATTTTCTTTCTTTGTGACATCCTTGTCTGGTTTTGGTATCAGGGTGATGGTGGCCTGGTAGAATGAGTTTGGGAGTGTTCCTCCCTCTGCTACATTTTGGAAGAGTTTGAGAAGGATAGGTGTTAGCTCTTCTCTAAATGTTTGATAGAATTCGCCTGTAAAGCCATGTGGTCCTGGGCTTTTGTTTGTTGGAAGATTTTTAATCATAGTTGCAATTTCAGTGCTTGTGATTGGTCTGTTCGTATTTTCTATTTCTTCCTGATTCAGTCTTGGCAGCGTTGTGCATTTCTAAGAATTTGTCCATTTCTTCCAGGTTGTCCATTTTATTGGCATAGAGTTGCTTGTAGTAATCTCTCACGATCCTTTGTATTTCTGCAGTGTCAGTTGTTACTTCTCCTTTTTCATTTCTAATTCTATTGATTTGTCTTCTCCCTTTTTTTCTTGATGAGTCTGGCTAATGTTTTATCAATTTTGTTTATCTTCTCAAGGAACCAGCTTTTAGTTTTATTGATCTTTGCTATTGTTTCCTTCATTTCTTTTTCATTTATTTCTGATCTGATCTTTATGATTTCTTTCTTTCTGCTAACTTTGGGGGGTGTTTTTTGTTCTTCTTTCTCTAATTGCTTTAGTTGCAAGGTTAGGTTGTTTATTCAAGATGTTTCCTGTTTCTTAATGTAGGATTGTATTGCTATACACTTCCCTCTTAGAATTGCTTTTGCTGCATCCCATAGGTTTTGGCTCATCCTGTCTCCATTGTCATTTGTTTCTAGGTATTTTTTGATTTCTTCAGTGATCACTTCGTTATTAAGTAGTGTATTGTTTAGCCTCCGTGTGTTTGTATTTTTTACAGATCTTTTCTTGTAATTGATATCTATTCTCATAGCGTTGTGGTCGGAAAAGATACTTGATACAATTTCAATTTTCTTAAATTTACAAAGACTTGATTTGTGACCCAAGATATGATCTATCCTGGAGAATGTTCCATGAGCACTTAAGAAAAATGTGTGTTCTGTTGTTTTTGGATGGAATGTCCTATAAATATCAATTAAGTCCATCTTGTTTAATGTATCATTTAAAGCTTGTGTTTCCTTATTTATTTTCATTTTGGATGATCTGTCCATTGGTGAAAGTGGGGTGTTAAAATCCCCTACTATGATTGTGTTACTGTCGATTTCCCCTTTTTTGGCTGTTAGTATTTTTCTTATGTATTGAGGTGCTCCTATGTTGGGTGCATAAATATTTACAGTTGTTATATCTTCTTCTTGGATCGATCCCTTGATCATTATGTAGTGTCCTTCTGTGTCTCTTCTAATAGTCTTTATTTTAAAGTCTGTTTTGTCTGATATGAGAATTGTTACTCCAGCTTTGTTTTGGTTTCCATTTGCATGGAATATCTTTTTCCATCCCCTCACTTTCAGTCTGTAGGTGTCTCTAGGTCTGTCGTGTGTCTCTTGTACACAGCATATATATGGGTCTTGTTTTTGTATACATTCAGCCAGTCTGTGTCTTTTGGTGGGAGCATTTAATCCATTTACATGTAAGGTAATTATCGATATGTACGTTCCTATTCCCATTTTCTTAATTATTTTGGGTTTGTTATTGTAGGTCTTTTTCCTTCTCTTGTGTTTCTTGCCTAGAGAAGATCCTTTAGCATTTGTTGTAAATCTCGTTTGGTGGTGCTGAACTCTCAGCTTTTGCTTGTCTGTAAAGATTTTAATTTCTCCATCAAATCTGAATGAAATCCTTGCTGGGTAGAGTAATCTTGGTTGTAGGTTTTTCTCCTTCATCACTTTAAATATGTCCTGCCAGTCCCTTCTGGCTTGCAGTTTCTGCTGAAAGATCAGCTGTTAACCTTATGGGTATTCCCTTGTGTGTTATTTGTTTTTCCCTTGCTGCTTTTAATATGTTTTCTTTGTATTTACTTTTTGACAGTTTGATTAATATGTGTCTTGGTGTGTTTCTTTTTAGATTTATCCTATATGGGACTCTCTATGCTTCCTAGACTTGATTAACTATTTCCTTTCCCATATTAGGGAAGTTTTCAACTAAAATCTCTTCAAATATTTTCTCAGTCCCTTTCTTTTTCTCTTCTTCTTCTGGAACCCCTATAATTCAAATGTTGGTACGTTTAATGTTGTCCCAGAGGTCTCTGAGACTGTCCTCAGTTCTTTTCATTCTTTTTTCTT